ACGTGGGTGCAGGATCCCACCCAGGGTTGTGAAGAGGGTGAACAAACCTATCCGTTCTGAAGGAAATCCACCCTGAGTGTTCCCTGGAAGGACAGATCCTGAAGCTGAGGCTCCAGTACTTTGGCCATCTCGTGAGAAGAGAAGACTCCCTGGAAAAGACCCTGATGTTAGGAAAGTGTGAAGGCAAGAGGAGAAGGGGACGACAGAGGACGAGATGGCTGGACAGGGTCATCGAAGCGACCAACATGAATTGGACCCAACTCCAGGAGGCAGTAGAAGACAGGAGGGCCTGGCGTGCTCTGGTCCATGGGGTCATGAAGAATCGGACACGACTGAACGACTAAACAACAAAAGTTTGAAAAAAGAGGAACTTTTCCCAGCCAAGATGGAGACGTGGCTTTTACAGTAGAATAACCCCATGAAAAAGGCAGTGTAGAATCAAGGAAAGCCTCTTGTGAAATGAGAGCATGCAACATTGGCTATCGTAGTCCTTCATAAACACTACATTTCCTTTTGATTTTTCAGCAACCAGGTGAGAATAATGATAACCTTAGAACGGCCGAGCTGGAAGGGACCCTGTGGGATCGTCTAGTCCAGCCCCTCTCAAGGAGGCCCAATGGGGGAATCGAACCCCCAACCTCTGGCTCCGCAGCCAGAGACCCAAACCGTGAAAAACAGTATTCCAAGAAATTTCCTTGACTTCCAGCACAGGGTCTTCGCATCACATCCCAGCCCTTATTGAGAACGGTTTCTAATCTGTAGCAATAGATTTCAAACAAACAAACCAACCAACAAAAAAAAAAGCCCCAATGTCTCTCTTTATTTACTGAAAACTCAGCACCTTGCTTTGGTGTGTGTTGTGAAAGCTGCAATCGCTGTAATAGAAGTGGCCACGAACTTTTGCCTTTTGCTGTGAGTCATGGCAGAAGGTGCTCAGCCATTTCCGTCAAGAGCTTTCACTCGTATTCTTCTACTTCGTTTAGCTGCTTCCCCAGGAATTACCAGCTTGCTCTGACATCAAGGACAGGTTTGGGTGATGAAGCACCCCGGTCATGGAGCACCCAGGAAAAACAGCGAGCCTCCTCAGTCCGTCCAATGCCTGTCATCTTACAGTTTTACAAGAGGCCTCAGCTTTCCCCTGCATCATTGACAAAATAAAAAATTAAAAAAATGGGAGAAGTAAAACCCAGATCTGCTTTCATTTTGAGACAAGGGAACAGGGCGAGAAAGTGAATGGCTTTACAGTAAGTCTTGGTTTCTCGGTGTCAGATTATTAGAAGTCACTGGATGTTGCAGAAACATCTCTGGACGTTGAAGCTGAACTCGCCACCCTTTCCGGAGCAACTCCGAAACCACTGAAAGGAAAAGATAACTGTTGGGTTTGTTTGTTTTTTTGTTTTTGGTCGCTGGGGAGAGTCACACTTTGGTATGGTGGTCAGACCAGCCCTTATCAAACTGAGCTTCGCTGCCTGCTTTGAGTTAGGCCCCATCTTGGTTTGCATCTGAACAGTGCACAAGTTAAAACTACGAGCATCCTGTATATGAAATATAGACAAAATCAAAAACAATTAAGATGTCAAGAAAACTGAACTATTTTTGACGAGCAGCGGGCTACTTCAATAGTGTTATCTCAGCCGTTTGCTAGATCTTTTTTAGTACGCATGGTGGAGCCTAAGTTTGTATGCACATAAATGCAACGTGGATTGAATTTCTCCACAGTCACAGAAAATGGATCCTGTGTCCAGGTAGCCCCATTCTCCTTGGTTATTCTTTGGCCTTCTTGCTTTGCTTCAAAGTCTTTTAAGTGACTTCCAGATGGTCCAGCCAGAATCTTGTCCTGGTGGGAGACGCTCTACGGCGTTAATCTTTTCGGCAAGTTGAGTTGTCTTGCTCTCTGTAGGTTTAGCCTAGGCTCGTTTCGGCGCCATGCTTTTCCTGAAGTGAAATCTCTGGATGCCTCTTCTATATGTTTCCCCTCGAGTAAACCACTCTGAAATGTACAAAACGACTGTTCTGGGGACACAGGTGACCTTCCTTTTTTTGGAGGGGTTCGGGATCTTGAGAACATGCCCAGCTACCCGTCTGCCCAGAGAAACGGAGCCTTAAAGTTTATCCGGGTTCCCATGGGATCTTAATTGCCCCTTCAGTATTTTATTCATTTCTGTTTGCATCTCATTCGGAAAAGAGGTCAATATAGATATTCCAGTCAAGAGCTGCCAAGAGGCAGGTTTGTGGATGCTAGGTCTTTGGGTTTGGGGAGGGGAAAAAACGCTGAGCGTTCAGCAAAATGAGACATGGCATGCACAAGGTTAATGCATTTCAAATCATAAGTAGTCGCTGTTCCTTAGGGCAGAGGGAGAGCTGAATTCCATCATGACATTAATCTGCTTGTTCCTCAGTTATTTTTTGGCTCTAATCTGCCTCTAAACCTCCTTTCGAATCAAAGATGGTCAAAATTCACCCCATGCCATTTTCTTCTGGAGAGCAGAGATCGTGCAAATAAGACATTCAAAGATTTTCTCGCACTTCTCTTGACGCACTAAAGAAAGTTGGGTGCCTTCGTGGCCTTTCATGTCTTAATGTGGCTGGCCTAAATCCTCCAGGCTAGCGATGTGCGTCTCACGGCTCTTGGAGAGAAACCTAGAGGGGAGAACCCACAACAGAAACACACTGATCACCATAATCACCCAATCTCCTGAAAAGGACAAAAGCTATAGATACTCAACTCCCAAGCCAACTACACCAGAGCACAGAGTGCTGTCTTGCTTTCGTGGGGGAGCCTGGAAGTCCCGCTCATGCCGGGGGAAGTTTTGACGGGGTGTCTTGACGAGGCTTGGAAAAGCACTACGAGAGAGAAATAGTGCAAACACCCCTCCCATCTGTAATCCAGATCATCTCCTGGGGTCTTTTGCTAGTGGTTCTTCCCCTTTCTTTCTTTGTTACTTCCCTCCACTTATTTTTACCTTAAACCTTTCTTATTTTTCATTCCATGATAACCGTATTACAGTACGACCCCCATATCCACAGGTTCCATGCCCCTGTCCCCACAGAGGCCAGAAAACATGGAATATTAGAGCAAATGCCATTTTAATAGTGAATGTTATACATAGCATGGTTTGTGGCTCCCTCTAGTGGCTAATTCTGGTAACTTATCTTTAGTAATACATATTTCTGGGATACAGTATTTCTTTTAATATTTTCAAAGGGTGGATAAGTGAATCAGCGGATACTGTCTTTCAGATACCGTGTAGCTTTCTGCACATCATGAGTTCATTGATTTCCTAGTCTTTATTTATTTATCCTGCTGCTTGGTCGCCGTCTTGATCCAAGAAGTTATTGTGTGTGATGTGCTCTCCGGCTGCAGGCAATGTATCACTCCTTTAATAGGGCTTCCCAATTACAGTGGTACCTCGCAAGACGATTACCCCTCAAAACGACGAATCCACATGACGACGAGGTTTTGCGACCACCATTTTGCTTCGCAAAACAGTGATTCCTATGGGGGAATTTCGCTGGACGACAATTTGGTCCGTGCTTCGCGAACTGTTTTTTCGCAAGACGATGATCTTTACAGCTTATCATCGGTTTCGCCTAGGGGCGATCTTTGCTGGACGGGTGCTTTCGGGCCCGTTTTTCACAAGACAGCGATTTAAAACAGCTGATCGCTGCTTCACAAAGCAGCTTCCTTATGGGCGATCTTCACTGGACGACGGCGATTTTTCCCCATTGGAACGCATTAAACGGGTTTCAATGCATTCCAATGGGGAAACGCTTTTTGCTAGATGATGATTTCGCTAAACAGCGATTTTCACGGACTGAATTATCGTCATGCGGGGCACCACTGTACGTGAGTACCGTACTTTCACGTGTATATGACCATTTAAAACAGCTGATCGGTGCTTCGCAAAGCAGCTTCCCTATGGGCGATCTTCACTGGACGACGGCGATTTTTCCCCATTGGAATGCATTAAACGGGTTTCAATGCATTCCAATGGGGAAACGCTTTTCGCTAGACAATGATTTTGCTAAACAGTGATTTTCACGGAACGAATTATCGTCATCATGCAGGGCACCACTGTACGTGAGTACCGTACTTTCCCGTGTATATGACCCACCATTGTATAGGACGACCCCCTAATTTTTACCCTTGCCGGAGGTGGAGGAGCAGTCAATGGGCAGCCGTGAGAGCCGGCCAAGCACGGCTGCTCCTTTGCCTCCATCTCTGCCTCCTGCGGCTGCCTTCCATGTATAAAACGATCCTCAATTTTTCCTCTAATTATTTTAGGAAAACATTTTGTTTTATACACAGAAAAGTACGGTACTTCAAAGAGTGGTTTTACCATTGCCGCCTGCCTTTCTGTGGCTGAGCAGGGATTCAAAACCCAATCTCCAGAGTCCAAGTCTGTCATTCTACCCACTACACCATACTAGATCCTGCAATAAATCCAGGGTTTAAGTATGCGTCTCTCTCTGTTTTATATAATGGCCTGAATTAAAGGCCATAATTCTATGCCATACAGCAAAGCTAAGAATATATAGCACTTATAGTTCATTTTTAGGTGAGGTTCGTTATTTACTGCATCACTTTGATAGAGTAACCTTTGCAAACCAAGCCACCTAAATTGTCAGCTAGTAATAACGTAGCATTTGCAAATGTGTTATAATGGCTTTGAATTTTGCTGTGTGTTCTCCATCTCGGTTAGCAGCGAAGGCCTTGCTCGTGCGGTGTTATTACCTACAGAATTTACGACCCGATGGGTACACGTTGCAGCTCAGAAGTTCTGGTACTCTAAGAGGGCAACAGTTCATGGGTTTTGTCCCCCCCCCTTCCTGCTTTTCTTTGCTGAGCCCTTTGGGGTTCTTGGGCAAAAGAGCAGCATGGAATTCGTCCTTCATGCAACCCCTTGTGAAAGCTCACGGCAGGTCCCCGAGAAGGTGTGCATTGGGCAGGTGACCTTTCGGAAAGTGGCTTTTAAAACCATCATCTGTTTCCACTTTAGGATTCATCGGTGTTCCTTTTGATGGTGGAAGGAGCTGGAAAAGGCCTAGAGATTTTCGCGAAAGGTCATCAGAGCCGGAGAGAAGGTAAGCAGGGTGGTGGGAGGGAGGCAGGCAGGCAGCAAGAACAGGGGATGAGTGGATTCTCCCCAGCATGCTGAGAAGCATCACTCACATCAGCTTCTTGGATGAGCCTTTGTCAGAATCAGGCTCCCTTAATCACAGCTTCTCTTATTTGATGAAGAGCCTGGACCCATTAAGGAAACGAACCGGGAGGGAGAAGGCATTTGCTTTAAAGTCACGGGGCGCTCGCATGAGTTTTTGAGTTGGAGTGTACGTCCTCCCCGAAACAGTCCAGGCAAAGGGGAGGGACACGGGTTGGAACTGGCCACGTCCACCTCCACCGTCTCCCTTTCCACCAGCTCTTGCCACGCCAGTGGCTGCCTGCCTCGAAGCTGGTGCTTCCTTGACGGGGATTGGACCCCATGATCCAGAGGGTCCCTTCCAGCTCTGCCGTTATAAGATGATTTAGCTGGCTGGAGAGCTCAGGGATTCAGAGGCTGGGAGTTCGATTCCCCAGTGGGACTCCTGGACTCAGGGGCCCAGAGGGTCCCTCCCGTTCTGGAATGATAAGATTATTATTAAAGACATAGAAAAGATTGGAAAGTATAAATATATATTTTTTAAAAAATCTGAAATGACATTAGTTAGTTAGTTAGTTAGTTAGTTAGTTAGTTAGTTAGTTAGTTAGTTAGTTAGTTAGTTAGTTAGTTAGTTAGTTAGTTACTTAGTTAGTTAGTTAGTTAGTTAGTTAGTTAGTTAGTTAGTTAGTTAGTTAGTATACCGCCTATCTAGCAGAGGCCACTCTGGGGAGTTCACAACATTAATTACCAATAGCTCCTAAAAACCCATTAAAGGGAACACAAAAGAGCAATCAGAAAAAACACTGGTTATTTCCTGATACAAATCGATTTCTCTTTTGAACTGGAGGGGGAAAAAAGTACAGGGGGAAAAAAGTGGATGGGTCTTTGAGAGTTTGATTCCCTCCCTGGCCCTTCTTGACAAGGGCTGGACTTGATGATCTTATGGGAGCCCCTTCCATCTCTGCCGTTCTAAAGAGCAGAAACTTTGAGAGTTTGATTCCCTCCCTGGCCCTCCTTGAGAAGGGCTGGACTTGATGCTCTTATGGAGCCCCTTCCATCTCTGCCGTTCTAAGGAGTAGAAGAACGTGGCGCTGCTCAAATAACACGTTCCCCTGTCGCATTACTCGGTGCGTGCACATACTTCATGTGTTCACCAACATTTCAATCGATTTTTTTAAAAGCAAAAGCCGCTTCGACAGCACTTCTTATTGTCAGCGGGGCCGAGCTCTGCGTCACTGGAACGGGTGGGTTTTCCTTGAGCTGGAATGTCTGAGAAGGTTGAAAGCAGCAAAAAGTCACCTCTTGGGGGGGGGTATGGAGAGGGCTTCGAAGGAGGAGTGGTGGGCCGAGCCGAGGAGTTATTTCCCCCCCCTCCTTCTCGCGTTGTCACAGGCGCACACGGCCTCAGAAGCATCGCATAGAATGCATGGGCCCCGGAGCGAGTCTTTTCAGAATTTTCCAGGACCCCCTGATTCTGCTTAAGACGTTTTCCGTTGGTTCTTAAGCTTTCTCTTCTCTTTCGGTGCTTGCTCGTTGCGTGCCCGGCTGCTCGCTGCTTTTCGAACAGAAAAGATGCAAAATGTCACGTTTTGTGCACGTTACGGAGACTCTGAGGAGAAAAGAAATAGCAAACTTGGTCTCGCTCTAGCCTGAAGACAAGGGACCTTTTAGCGTTTGAGAGTTCCTTGGTTGAGGGCCTCGTTGCTTAAAGACAGCCGAAATGGATGAGAACAAAGAAATTAGAGGCAATTCTCTCCACTCCTAATGCCTGTTAAATTTTCTACCCCATTATCCTCTGGATGTTTTCTTGGTTTCCTGTTGGAAAAGTTTTTAGGGGAGAACTCAGGTAACTTTGGAAGAATTTCGCCATAGGTCTTCAACCCTTTATCGGTGTCTTTTTCTCTCTTCATCCTGGTGGTACTTGTACCAGCCTTTCCCGGCTCGTATTTGGCAAGCCAGGGAAAGGTGAGAAAGACTGGAGAAGGTCATCACCATGACCGTCGCTGTCGGAAGCCTGTCCTCGATTTCTTTCGGCGCGACCTTCGCTTCCCAGCCCTCCAAAATAGGTGATAGGGTTGAGAAATGATTTTGGTCATTCATTGGAATAAGCCGGGTGGGGAATCGACAAGTCAGCACCAACTTATAGCAACCGTAAGAGGGCTTTCAAGGTAAGTGAGATAGCTCAGGAGGGACTTTACCATTTCTATTCCCCCAATCAGTTTCCATGGATTTGAAGCCAGATCTCCTGAGTCCTATTCCATCATTCTATCCACTTCACCACACTGAGTACCACACATGTAAACACAAACACACACACACACAAACAAACAGAAACACAGAGCAGGACTGCAACACACACACACACACACACAGAGACACAGGACTGCGGTTTTAAGTTAATCACAGCAACCTACAGAAGAATTGCATAACTTTAATACTGACAATAAAGAAACTAACATTGTTAAAGTTTTCTATACCTTGGTTGAGTCAGTAAATCCAAAGGGAGGCTGCAACCAAGATATCAGAAGAAGGCTGAGATGTGGAAGGACAGCTGTGAAGAAACTAGAAAAAGGTGTAAGGATGCGTCCCTGGAGACCAAGATCGTTCTTGTCTTATTGCCCTGTATGGGTGTAAAAGCAGGACAGTAAAGAAAGCCGATAGGGAAAAAAATTGACTTGTTTGCAATGCAGAAGAGCTTTGTAGCTACACTGGACTCCCCCAAAGACAAACAAGGCTAAACTCTCCCTGGAAATAAAAATGACAGAACTGGGGCTTTTGTGCTTCGGCCACAGTTCACGAGAAGACAGTACTTGGTGGGAAAGTTGGTAAGGCTAAGGACAGTTGAAGGCAGTAGGAAAAGAGGAAGACCCAATATGTGATGGCTCGACTCAGTAAAAGAAGCCATAACCTAGAGTGTGCATAACTGGAGCAGGGCGGCTATCGGAGGGCATCATTCCATAGGATCCCTGTAAGTGGGAAGCAACTTGATCACCTATAACAACAATATGAGAGAATAAGGAAGGAAAACGAAACCAGTTTCCTCCAGGTTTTTATACAGAGTTTTGACTGGTCAGTGACTTATTTTGTACATGACCTTGTTGTAGTTTAGTTGTTAAGTTGTGTCCGACTCTTTGTGACCCCATGGACCAGAGCACGCCAGGCCCTCCTGTCTTCCACGGCCTCCCAGAGTTTGGCCAAAGTCATGTTGGTCGCTTCGATGACCCTGTCCAGCCATCTCATCCTCGGTTGTCCCCTTCTCCTCCTCTTGCCTTCACTCTTTCTCAACATCCGGGTCTTTTCCAGGGAGTCTTCTCTTCTCACGAGATGGCCAAAGTATTGGAGCCTCCGCTTCAGGATCTGTCCTTCCAGGGAGCACTCAGGCATAATTTCCTTCAAAATGGATAGGTTTCTTCTCCTTGCAGTCCAGGGGACTCTCAAGAGGCTCCTCCAGCACCACAATTCAAAAGCATCAATTCTTCAGCGGTCAGCCTTCTTTATGGTCCAGCTCTCCCTTCCATACATCGCTACTGGAAAAACCATAGCTTTGACTATGCGGACCTTTGTCGGCAAGGTGATGTCTCTGCTTTTTAAGCTGCTGTCTAGGTTTGTCATCGCTTTCCTCCCAAGAAGCAGGTTTCTTTTAATTTCGTGGCTGCTGTCACCATCTGCAGTGATCATGGAGCCCAGGAAAGTAAAATCTGTCACTGTGTCCTTATCATCCCCTTCTATTTGCCAGGAGGTGATGGGACCAGGGGCCATGATCTACGTTTTGTTTAGTTTAGTACCTTTAGACCTAAGATGTCTTAAATCTATAAAAGAAATCCACGGTATGTAAACCACCTACTCTCCTTGCTCTATGAAATGATTTTTCAAAAGAGCAACTCTGGGGGAGCTGTAATTAACACAGCCGGTTTGGCAGAAAATGAGAATTGTGACCCGCTTTGATGAAAATGATTCAGAAAGTTATTACACAGACAGGAGGCAAGGAGGCTAAATATAAATATGCCGAGCCGCCGTGTTTGAAGTCAGCCTGCCGGAGGAGGGAGTGTGAATTGCACGGTGGATTTTGCTTCTTAGTCATCATGGCAGCCAGTGTGTCTTGCGGGAAGGGCCGGGCTCTGGGGCGGCGGGAACATTTGTCGGGGACTGGGGAGAGGAGGGGCGGACAACAGCTTTTGAAAACCGGAAGTGAAGGTGGGATGGCTGTGGTTCAGGGATTCCTCTTGAGCTCTGGACGGTCTCCAGGGCTCGGCTGAGCTTCTTGGCTGGGATAGTCCCATGGAAGCCTTGAATTCCATGACTCCCAAGCTGTGTCCCTCTTGTGACGTTCACCAACGTTGATGGCAGCTTTATCGTGTGAGGTCAAAGGTCCTGCCTTCCACCGCCCTGGGCCTCCTTGACCGGGGCTGGACTTGATGATCCTTAGGGGTCCCATCGAGCTCCGCCGTTCTAAGAGGATGATGATTCGAAAACGCCCAGCACAATCAATCAAAGTTATAAAAACATGGACTGGTATTATACAACAGATACAACTTTAAACCAAAAATCTAAGAATCTGTTAAATATCGACACAGGATGTACACTGTTCCTAATACTGCCGTTTTTTGTAGCTCTGATGGTGTGATTTCTGAGATCTGCAACTGTTTATAGTACTGTGTGAACGTTCTTAATACTGTTCTGGCTGGTAACACAACATTTGAAGGGTTTCCTGCAGTATTGCTCTAAGGCAGGGTAGGGAGCTGGCATTCCCTCTCCCTGGACCTCCCTCCTTGATACAATCAGCTGTTTCTCCTTCCTTCTGCCCATTTTATCTTTCTCCACAGAAATAAAATACCTGGCTGGCAGTTGGAGGAGCAGGTCCTCTAGCTCAGCCCTTCTCAGCTTCTTCTTCTTCTTCTTCTTCTTCTTCTTCTTCTTCTTCTTCTTCTTCTTCTTCTTCTTCTT